ATATGTATAATAAATATATTTTTAATAACTAACTTTTGTATATTTTGAATATATATAAAATATATTTGAAATATATAAAATATATATGAATATCGGCCAAAAATTAGTTATTAAAAATATATTTATTATACATATTTTTTATATATTTATATATTTTTTATAGATTTTTAATATATTTAAAATATATTTTTTATATATTTCGAAATATATATTTTTTATATTTTTTTTTCATGGGGGCATATATGAGAGTTTTCAATTGTATAAAATTAATATTTGACTGGTTTTTTAAAAATAAAATTTGTTTCCATTGCATGTCCTTTCAGATATTTGCAATTTGCTTATAACACATGTTTACTTTTTCTTTTTCCCTCTCCCGAGTCGCGACTGTGGCCGACTTACATTTTACTATACCCGCATTTGCCTGTCCTCCGCCTCTTAACACAGTGGTCAGGAAAACCACAGAAAACCTGGTCAAGGTACACCCGGCTACAGTCGAAGTGCTGGGATCGCTAAAAAAGCGGTGTCTCGGAGATTCGAACCCTCGCCTGTCGACCCGTTGTTCGGGCAGCCTAAGCCCTCAGACCGCTAACAGGACTGACTTTTGCATGGTTTTTTATCGATTTGTAAAATTTCTTTTAACAATATAGATGCTTAGTAAAATGATCCCATCAAAGTAAAAACGCCCTGTGAGCCAAAAATAATTTTATTTCTTTACTTTTTTCTTGAGAGAAAAAAATTTTTTTATTGATTTAGGAGAAATTTCTTATTGTAAAAATGTTTAGTCTCTTCTTCAAAAAATTTGCCAAGTTTAAAAACTTTTCTTACCCTAAAAAAAATTTATTCACTTGTGTGCTTCAATAAATTTGTGTGTATTTTTATTTGTATTGAGAAGCTTTAAGTTAATTTTGAGTCAAATGAATTATCTTTATTGAATAAAAATTACTTTAATTGAGAAATTAATTAATTTGAAGCAATAAATATCTAAGAAATTTTGATTCAAGCGTGAAAAGTGCGTTTAAGAGAAATTTTATTTAATCACGATTTAAAAATTGAAGAAAATTTTATACTTCAGCTAAGTAAATTTTGGTCTTCTTTCTCAAACTCAAAATTTTTCTAAAACAAAATAAGTTTATCTTTAGTTAACAACTATTTCATCTCTCATTCGTACATATAGCGAGCTTACAAGAAGTTGGAACGTTTTTTTTTTAAATTATTTCTAATTTATCATGTAAATGCCTATTTTTTGAAATAGTTGGCCAAATTAATTAAATGACTATGATAATTTGTTAACTAAGTATCTTAAAACATTAAATAATATAAATAAATCATATAGGTTGTGCAAAACGTTTTTAATAGAATGAACCGATGATAAAAACATAGTAACTCATAACTATAAAACATGTAAAAATATTCTGTCCATTATGAACAATATTGTAGGTATAAAGGATGATTAAAAATTTTGTTTTCATATTGTAATTAGAGTTTTTAATTATCAAATTGAATAACTCTTAAGTCGCGTAGATATTAATTATTAATTTAATAAAGGAGTACAAGCATTATTAACGGGTACGAGTAACCAGTGAAGAATTAATCTGTCGACGCAAAATGCTTTATCAAAGTTACCGTTACATCCTCAACATAAACCTCTGCGTCTGAGGCTCCAACAGAGAATGAAGGAGTGTAGGCAAAAGAATGCGGTGTGCGAACCGACGTAAACGATGATGTAATCTTTCATCGATCTCCATTCCTGGAGTGATGGAAAGACTCTTTCACGCTTTGTTGTTACTGCTGTGTAATAAAAGGTAGTAATATGTTTAATATGGTGAAAAACATTAAGAGATGCCTGTAGGTTGCAAGGTTGTGTTTTGTGTTGCATCGAATCTTTGAATAAAATTTATTGTACTCATTTATCAATCCCCGTTTTCTGATCAAATTAATTAAACATAAAATTGCACAATTATTCGCTTAAATAGTTTATATCGTTATATTTTGTTTATTGATTCACTATACGTAAAACCAGCTGATATTGAGATATCTTATAAGGTAATTTTTATGTCTGCTTAATGTACGTGAAATGAACGATATAGAACAACCCTAATTGGTAATGTTGCTTATAATCCTCGTCAACTATACGTGGACAGTCAAATAAAAAAAAGTTACGAGTTTCTGCAAGTAATGAAAAATTTTTGTCCTCATATCTGAACACACGTTGTCAGGTTTAGTGAATTTATGAATAAAACTTGTTTGTTATTAAAATTTTTTATTTTCATTTTTGATTCTTTAGTTTTTTTCATCTTAAAGTTATATATATTTTGAATTCAAATGAATTTATAGTTTTATTTATCGAGTGCGCCGACAAATGGGACAACATTGTTGTGGGTTTTAGTGATGTATCTAGGTATGTATTACTCACAAGCTAATATGTTAATTCATTTCAACAAGAACTGCCTACTCGTGACAGTCATTTTCATTTTACTTTCAGTTAAAATTAAAAGATTGCAATCCAAAACAATTGAGTTTGTAAATGAGCTCAAAAATACTCTGCTGTTTACGAGTTATAGGAAAGTTTTAAAACTATATTTACTATTCTTTAGTATTTTTGAGCGTTTGTGCTGTAGAAATGCATTTATATTCAGTACTTTATAAAATAACTAGATCAACAAGGACTATTATAATCAATCACATCTTTTTTGATTGGAGATATTTTTGGTTGAATTACAAACTTTAAACAAGTTTTGACATTGCTAAGATTTCGGAATTGATCTATATAGCTATAGTTTTTAATATCCTGAATAATGAAAAGAGATTTCATTTTATAGTGATGAATTGAATTATTTTTATTGATTAGTTGACACATCCTCCTCGATCGTTTAAAAAATAAAATAAAACAAAGTTAAAAAAAAGGTCCACCTAAAATCGTCTTAAAAGTCAAGGTTTTAATAATATATATATGATCGTTTTTAATTCATGTTTGTCATAACATAACACCACAAAAAGAATATTGAGCTTCCGTAGGTCTAATTTACAGTTTTCCAGATTTTATTTGATCTATTAAGTATTATTTATTTAATTATTTTTAACTTCCCGCTATGAAAATCACTGATGAATTCTACAAGGATGTCATTATTCCTGTATATATATGGGTCATTCCGTGTTTAATCGATCAATAGTTGAAATCGACCCCTTTCAATTTGGACAAAATTCGATCAATACTTTTATAATGAAACAAAAATATACAAAAGTAAGAAAATTTTTTTAATTTTTCTCGAAAGACTCAAAATTCAAAATTTTACTATTTTTTTAATTTTTTTTTTAATATTATTTTTTTAAATATCTCGGAAACTTTGTTTGTTTTAAAGGAGACACTTGAAGCTATAGAAAAAAAATATTTTTGAAAAAAAAAACTCATAAATGAAAAATTTTTAGAATTTAGAATTTTAATAAATCGTCAAAATCGAACTTTCACACAAAACTTTCAACTTAAATTTTTTATCACAATACCCTTAAATAATTTTACAAGAATCTGACATTTTCAGAGAGGTTTTTTTTTTCCAAAATTATGAATTTAGCCTAAATAAATAAAATTTTTTATCTTTCGAAATCTTCTCTGAAATATTTACACGTCGAGGTAAGAAAAAATGCCTGCGAAAAGCGTAGCCTTCAATATTAATATTTAAAAGGTCGCTTATCGCAAATTTCTAATTCTAATTTAAATAACATACGAAAAATTTTTTTTAACTTTGAAGTTCTGCAACTGTGCCATGAATTGAAAAAAAAACATAAACACAAAAGTTGACTCTCATTGAAAAATTTCCAAAAAACAAAATAAACTATTATGTAAATAAATTTTGAAGTTTTTCCATAATAATTTAACATATTTTAGAATCATAGACAAAATTTTATTGACTAAAAATTGTAGATCATACAATTTTCTACAAATAATCTACTAAGCAATTTTTAATTCGTCCATTTGTTTAACATATAAAGCACGCTAAAGTTTAATAAATAATGCAGGAGTGTTGTCATATTTTTTAAATGTAAAACATATGAAAAAATTATTTATACAGACAATAATTCTGAAATCATTGATGAAGTTTGTATAATTAATAGCTTTATAGAATTTGTTTCGTTTTAAATATATAACCATTGTTTTATATTTTAAATGAAATTAAATAGTTATCTATGATAAAACTTTTAGTATAAATTTATAAAAAAAGTTTTTTGATCATTACGTTACTTTTTTACACTATAGCAATCAAGTTGTGTTTCGTTATAAGTATAAGATTGCAAGAATACGAGTGCAGTATTAAATGGGTAGATAACTTGCGGGAAACGAGTTTTCTCATGGCATAAATCTAAAAGGAAGAAATACACTCCGAGTGTGTATTTTTATTTAAAAAGGGAAGATTAGATAGCAAAGCTGTGTTGATAAAGTCGGTATCAGTAACTTACCCGGATAACCCTCGGGAATAACAATTTCCGGTCCAACCTTGACATCGTGACGATATCTATGTATTAAAAGGGTTGCTGTGACTCTAAGTGATCGCTGCTGCTGTTTATAAAGTAAAACAGGACGTCCACCAGTTCCTTCTAGTCTCACAACTCTTGGTAATGAAAAACGATCAAGAAAGTCACGTAGAGGTATAAAACCACCTGCAGAGCTAGAATTACCCTCAGCCGTAGCTTCCCTCGAGCTAGGAAGTGATTTCGGTAGAGAGGGTACTTCTCCACTCGACATTGTCGAAAATTCACTGTTTGATGACATTTTTTATTTTATATCTTTTATTAATAATTATTGACAATTATCAATAATTAATAATCAAAGTTTTTCCAATAATTATAATTACTTTTATTTATCACATGTAAATACAATTACTAATTTTCACTATTAATAAATAGGCCTCAATATATCAGTTCCCACTAGGTTGAGTTATGCGTATGAGAGGTAGTAGATGTATTACTAATTTTTTTTTTTTTTTGTGAGTTGTAACAACTCTCAGAAATTTGTTATGGTGACAGACAAATTTACAAGTTTCCAATGATGCAAATCCGACGTAATTTTTTCAATTACATCCAATAAGAGTCTGAGCCACTGTCACTTTCTTGGTAAATTCTTCGCAATACTTTTGCACATTCCAATTGTTGAATCACTTTATTAAATCCTGTTTCATCATCCGACAAATATTTATCGTTATTTATAATTTTTATTAATAATTGTATAGATAGGTATCACTTTTTTGAATAAAATGAATACATTTTTACAAAAAGTGAATCTATCTCTCTTTCAAACGACAATCAATTGCCAGGTGCAACGGAACGCAGCAAGGACAAAGTAGGATTAGTGTAATTATCTACCCTTGTTGGCTTTCTTTCTCATTTACTCGGTTGTAATTTTGTGCAATTTTTCTGCAGTGAGCTGGAGAATCAACCGGATCGACTAGAGAACTAACGAATCGGTCATGCACGCGCGGACAGAATCTCTAGTGAGTAATGGAGAACAGACGCGCTTGGTTGCTCACTCTGTTGTCACTTTTATTGCTAAAGTTTATTTTTGAAAAACTTGATACAGATTAAACACAAAACTTATCAACTAATGTACCATTCTTTTTACATACCATTCACTGATATTCATTTAAGTTATTCATCAACTCCGTTTGTTTTAATATATTCAATTATAATTTATAATTTCAAAATTATTTTTTTAATCTTGGATTAATATTCATTGGAATTCAGACCGATGAAAAACCCATGTATGATTCATAAACAGTACGTTATTTGCACTTTGCACATTCAAAAATAATCAAATTTATTAGACATTCTTGAAAAACAATCAATATGGTTTAATAGCGAGCCATAAAAGCAGGCCTGTTTCACTCGAATTCTTTTCAATTCCATCATTTATTATCAGAATAAACATATTCATAATATTTTCACAAAACTCGAAAAACTATTTAATATTCTAATCGGTTGATCGGTATTTTCACCACAGAAAAAGAAAAAAATCGAATTTATCGACTCAGCTGTACACTCACGCGCCCTGCTACGGCACCTTTTTGCGCTTGAGCTGTGATTTGATTATCTATGGCGTTTATAATTTTATTCTTCAAGTTGTTTTTTAAGAATTCTCGTATTTTACGGCAAACGTTTAAACCTCTTTATCATTTTAACTTTTTTTTTCCAAGTATTCATTTTTTTCGGATTATAGACTAAAATTCCCAAATCTAGATCCTACTTTTTAGAAAGATAACTCTAAAAAAATAGCGATAAAAATCTTTAAAAAAACAAACTTTAAAGTATTCAAAAGCAAAATGATTTTGTCGCAGATAATAATTAATCATTTAATTACTGATACTATATGGTTAAATGAAAAAACATTAGTTTCGAAGTAACAACACTGCACGTTTTGTGTAGAGATCCGGTCTGACCGGCGAACGCAAAGTCACTGACGCTTGAGATCCAGTGAGTGGAGTGTAAGATCGCTACCATCACTTTCAAGTGTACTACTGGAAGGATACTACTAGAACTACTACTACGACTACTATTACTACTACAACTATGGACAAGCATACATAGAAGCAATTCAAATAATATGAGTAGGTATAATGAAGGTGGTGTAGATAGGATTATAGGTTCAATACTATGCCAGCAAAAAGGATCAACCGGTATGGATAACCGTAGCATTTTAGTATAGAGATTGCCAGGAGATTCATAGGTTGATATCTACAATGTATGTGTGTGCTATTCTGCATATTAAAATTTGTTTTACCTTATATCTATTTATTCTTCTTTTGTTGGGTACGTTAAGACTCCACCATTGTGTTAAGATGGTATTAATAGTATAAAGAAGCACGCGTAATCATTAATACCGCTATCAAGTCTGCAGCATGTTGGAGCACTCGTGGGATTATAAACTCAAGTCGAAAATACCGTGCGGTATTCGCTTGCTACATTAGTCGACTTTCTTATTTTTTACTCACATTATATTTGTCTTTGTACATAGACAACGGATGGTACATAGTATACGGGTAGTTATAGTATATGTACTTATAGTTCTAGTTGTAGTCGCCGAGAAAATAGAACGACCTTGAGTTTTGTCCTCGCAGACTTAAGAACACGTCCAACATTATTTTCTTTATCCTCTTCTTTATCCTTACTCTTTTAGTGTTTATCACAGCAGGTATGTTTTTAGGTTTACGGTTGAACTATCATCATTTGCGGTTTTTTAATTATCAGTTGATCCAGTCTCTGAATAATTACCATAAATTATGATTCACAAAGATAATGATGATAATAATAATCTGATTTTATTTTATATTAATTAATCTAAAAAATATTTATGTATTTCTTGTGACAATATATTAATAATTTGAAAGTAGTATATTATGCAAGAAACTGTTATTTATGATACGAATTTTCTAGCATGTGGTTTAGGTTTTGACCGCCAGTATAAGGTTTTATTAGTTATGTTATTCTCTTTCTCCGCCTCAATCCCATCTGCTGGAACTTGGCTTTCTGAGAAAAACATCGCCGTTGGATTCTTGAGGTGTTGTTTTTTTGACTCTCTAAGGAATCCTGCTCTTCTGCAACTGCATAAGTGTTATTCTTTACCAACGATATTTTATTTTATAAATTTTTTTACGATCAAACATTTTTTGCAGCTGATGATATTTAAAAAACGTTTATTTCTGTTTTTTTGTAATTAATTCTAAGAAAAGTATTAAGTTAAATTAAATATATCTGATCTAAGATGCGTATATAAAACATTTATTTCGATGATGATAATTCAAATCTTTTCTTTCATCTTATTATAGGAGTAATTTACAGGATAAATTAATCTCACTAACAAAACCACATGTAAAAAGATCATTATAAATTTTACAGTCAATGTAAACTTTAAAATATCGTCTTCTGAAATAATGATATGCAGAAAGTTTTATTTATATTAATTTATGTTATAGTTTGAAAAAAACATTAAATTAAGTGAATTTTAAGTATTTTTAACTTTCCGCAATGACTTGTAACTTCCCGCTATGAAATTCCAATTGAACCAATTGAACGGATTTAACTTTGTAGATTTTGAGGAATGTTATAAATAAAAATTGCCAGAAAAAATTTTTAGTATAACTTTTAATGTATTTTACCGATTCATTTCAAAATTAAATTGAGTCTTATTCTCAGAAAACTGCGTCGATCGCCCCAAATTTTGTAGAACTTCAAAAATTTTATTGAATGTCGTAAATCTCATATAATGGTTAATTTATTCAAGCAATATTAAAGTTCAAATATTAGTATTAAATAATTTTTGCCGATTATAATTAGATTTTTCAGCTTAAAAAGCTCAATGAAATACAAACAGCGGGAAATCCCAGCGATATTCCAGCAAAATTTAAGTAAACTACTTAATAATTTTTTTTACATCTCAGTAAAACATATAACATTTTTAGTATTATTATTTTTCAGGCTACTGTTTTTTTCATTTGGTTTTAGATTATTAGGTCTTAATTTGAAAAGAGGATCAAATTTGAATCAGCTTACAATTTAAACCATACGTTTTCCATACGATTTAAACACATTAATATTGTTGAAAGCGGTTGGAACAATAATATTTATCAATTTTTTTTCTTAAATCAGCATATCAAATGTCTTCAGATTTATCAAGTGAGAGAAGTATCGAATTGAATTATTGGTAGATGTTTAATCATTCAATTTATCGTTCTACATACACTGAGAGACAATTTTATTGACAGCGAATAAAAACGCGTATTTGGATTTTTTTTACTTGAGTACTACTTGTCAATAAATATTAATTACATATAAATATAATTTGTTTTACAGTGAATAAAATTTTATTAGTATTTAATAAAATTTTATTAGATACTAATATGTGTTTATTAATTAAAACCACCGCCAGTCTCGCTTTAACGGCAGCCATCTTTAATCCTAAAGTCAATGCGTAAAATTCGGAGTTATTGTTTATTAATAGCGAATGAAAATTAAAATAATTATTAAACAATGGATGTTTTATTAAAAGAAAGGGATTTAGATGTATTGTGGCCAATTTTTCAACCCAAATAAGAATTAAAATTTCTCTAAGTAATTCAATGTATATATGTGTATATTATTTATAACCTGCTTGTGGTTAGCCTTATTTGATTTTTAATTTTAATATCATCACAAGTGTGAATGGTACCATTGTTATATCATGTAGTGATTTTCAATAAAAGAAAAGTTAGTTAAATATAATAAATTCTAATTATTTTTTTATAAATATTAATAACACTGAAGTTAGCCGTCAGCTGTCAGTTTTAAAAATTTTTTTAACAAATCAATCACCGTAAAAAAATTCTTCTAAAAATTTTCACTTGTAATTTTTATTAATTGTCACATGTGGAACTTTTTGATCTTATTTTTTTATAATAATTTAATTGCTATAAAATAAAAAAAAAAATTTTTTTTAATTTATCTGTCAACTTTAGTGTCATAAATATTTACCTTTTAAAATTAAAAAAATATTTCTATATATTTTCATTATAAAATTTCATTTCCTGATTTACATTTTTTAATTTGAAACTATGGATAATCATCAATAGTTTAACATTATTTGGTGATAATAGATAGATTTATTATAAAATTTTTTGACAACCATTTATTAACAAAACAAAACCGATTATGACGTTTTATCTTATTATTCATTGTTAATAAAAAACTAAATTATTTTGTGTATAAATAAAAACGTATTATACACTAATAAACGCGTATTAAATA